CGTTGTGAAGATTGGGGTTTTCCTTCCATTGAACTGTAATCCACACAGAAGACTACAATCCTTGGTCTTCTTTAGTAAGTACTTCAAGTTCTCACTTTCAGCAAAGCAAGGTTGTGTCGTCTGAATATCAAAAATTGATAATAAGCCTTCCTCCAATCCTGATGCCACATTATTCTCCATTTGGTCCAGCTTCTTGGATTATTTGAATAGGAATGGGGAGAGCATACAACCTTGAAGTACTCTTTAGTTGATTTTAAACTATGCAGTGTTCCCTTGTTCTTAACACACCACTGCCTCGGGTCCATGTTCAGGTTCCCAACGAGAACAATGCCATGTCCCTACATCCCCATCCTTCCAAAGGCTATCTACAGTTTGTCGTGCCCCAGATAATGCAACGCCTTGTGCAGTCAAGAAAACACAAGTAAACGTACTTCTAGTATTCTGGGCTTTCACCCAAGATCCATCTGATTTTGCCTATGAAACCCCTTTTGCATATCATTTTCTAACCATTTTGTAACTGCTGTAAGCATTGTTGGATGATTGTCAGCAAATTGTTCCTTGCCTGTGACAACGATGGTGTTCAATATTTTAAGGATTCTGTTGGGTCCCCTTTCTTTGGAATGTGTACAAATATGAATGTCTTCCAGTTGTTGACCACGTGCTTGTCGTCCTAATTGTTGGCAGCGGCGAGTGAGGGGGTGCTTCCAGGTTTTCTTAAGATCGTCGACAAATTGGTATTCAATTGCTATTCTGTCAATTTCTGTAGCCTTGGTTTTAGCTCAGGCCTTAAGTGAAGCTTGGACTTTGTCCCTCAGTACCATTGTTTCTTGACCATATTTACTTCTTGAAATGGTTGAATGCCACTTAATTCTATTTGGTACAGTGATGCTGTGTATCACTTTCGTCTTTTGTCGTCGTCGTTGTTGTTGCTTCCTGCATCATTCACTATGTTGGCCAATATTGAAACTCAGCAAGGGTTCACTATAGACCTGCATGGAAACGGCTGATCAAGCGGCTGCACCAATGGACAAACTCCTTTTCTATGGAAAGAACACACTAAGCAAAGTGCTTACTCCCTACTTAATGGCCGTAGGAGAGGGTATGGACTTGTGATGTCCCAGACCAAAATCCCTGGGCACTGAGTTCGTTTAGACTTATAGCAACCCCACAGGCAGGAATAACCTTGTAGCATTTCCAAGACTGCGGTCATTGTGAGAGTCAACTGCTAAGGGTTCCAACCACTAACCTTTTAATAACTAGCCAAGGGCTTTAACCGCTGTGGCACCGGGGCCTTGTTTTAGCAGGCTGTTTCCGTTAGGTGCTTGAGGCTCCGACTCTTAGCTATCTTTATGTGCCAAAGAATTAAGCTCAGTCTGGCCCTGTGGAATACTCATCTCCCAAAACACAAAATGCACTGCCATTGAGTAGATCTTGACTCCTACCGTTGATGTCCGGTCTAACGCCCGTCCTCCAGGACAGACAGGACAGTCCCTGTGGGTTTTAGGGGTTGTGCGTTTGTAGGAGAAGATAAGATGGCATCAGCATTCACTCACGGAGGGAGGGCCTGTGGCGGGGCTGTTGAGTTTGAACCGCTGACCCTACAGTTGCATTAACAATTATGCCACCATGGCTCCTTGTGCCATCCTTACACAGTGATGAACAATTTTGTGGCTAAAGCAGTAGAAACCCAGGTGAAGAAGGATGGTGACTCCGTTTGTTAAATGGATTACATTTTTCACGTGAGTGTTTGCCAAACTCAGAAAGTATAATTTCTACTCTCTTCTCGCCCCACCTTCCAACTCTAGATTTATAGTTTAAAATTTGGCTCAATCATGGAGGTGGAAGTAATAAAAAATGAAATAATATTTTTATACCATACATCTGCTCTAATTGGCATTAGTCAGAATAGAAATCATCAGAATAAATTTTGGTTTAAAGCAGCCTTTACTAAAGCAGTTTGGGCTTAATAGCATCCATTTAGAACCTTTGAAACCAATGAAGCCTTTTCAATTAACACATTATTGATTTGAATAGATTCTTACAGCAACAGAAATAAATGATTTGACACAAGATAAATTTTATACTGCAGTGAGCATTTCTCAGTTTTGTTTCAAAGAGGAACTACAGAATAATGAGGAGATAAAAACTATTTACAGGTGTAAATTTTCTTTACTTTACTAGATTAATCACATATTATTTTCCCTGGTAGAATATAATAATGTTAAAATTCACCCTTTATTTATAATCCTTATGAAATATAGATTTCTGAAAATAAAATAACACCTGCCATCAGCTGTATTCAGTGCAATATCCTGGATTTCTGGTCGATTAATCCTTAATGTACCATAAAAAATGTTTTCTCTCAGTTTAAAATGCCATCTTTTCCCTTTAATCTGTGTCATTTCATGGCCACCACAACTCTCCTTATGAAATGCAGTTTGCTTTTAATTTTTCTGTGATCTACTCAGAAAGCAAAATTAATCAGGGCCCTTTCTATATCACTGTAAGTCCTAATTATCACCAAAAACACTTCCCAGCAAAATAATATTGCTGTCCCATGTCATTTTAAAAAATCCTATTATTCAGAAAGTTTTTACCTAAATAACCATGATGATCTGTACCAATTCATTCTAATATTTACTAAATATATGTGAAAGTTGTTTTTTTAACCATATTAAAACA